ACTTTGCTTCTGGTTTTTAGAGAAACAAAATGGCAATATCTTATCTGTAAATTATCACTGAACTTTAGAATCGTGCATTGTCAAAATTAGAAGGAAGTGTAGACATTTTGTAGTGCAGCTTCCTTTCACAAATGGGCAATCTGACACACAGTGAGGGGGAATTAACTTGTAAAAGGTGACATAGTGAATTATTAGCAGAGTGCAGACTAGAACACAGCTTTTCCAATTCACAGCCTGGTGTTCTTTCCACTGTATCACTACTTCCTCTCAGATCTTCACAAATAAACAACTCAAAAGGCAGTACAGCATACAAAGTTCTGTTAAGCTGCTGATGGCTGTACTGAACTTTGATGACTAATGTCAACTTGTCACAACTCATTGGTTGCTGGAAATAGACTCACCAAGTTCTTGAGCCAAATATTTTAAAGCAGTTTACACTTGCAATATTGCAAGCACAGTTGAATTTTCTTACAAATCTCAACTCGAAGGTCTATCTGGCTGTTTGCGTGGGGTACTTTGTTGCATAGCTATATTCCAGTACACCATGGTGTCTTTTAATGTATTTCTCCGTCTTCTATATTTCCTGTATCATGATAATATAATCAACTGATAAATCTTATTCCAATTCAGAACTACAGGATCTTGCTTTAACTTCATTAATCTTACATCTTTCTCCCACACTGAAAATCCCAATCTTTAAAATGCCAGCATATTTAAATGTCTCCTTGTGTAACATACATAGAGCAGGTTCATAATAAAATATCAAAACTGCCACTAACAATATGATTATTAAGTTTTAAGGTTTGTTTGTTTGTTGATGTTCTCTTTGTCCTTTGGATATAGCCCAATTACTGGTTGTAAGTTCATTTTGAATTGTTCCTGTCTGTGTGATCATTGCCTCAACATTGTTTATTTCATTTTCCTTTTAGTTTTTAGGGCTTACCTTTCTAAATTTCAGTTTTGTTTTATACTTATCACAGGACTCTTGATTTAATAAAATAGCATTTACTACATGATAATATATCTCTAAAGCAGAATTAATGATTAGGACTGATTTTAGATTAGCCTATAATAATTATATGCTCTTTCTTACAAAATAAGTAACAAAAATTCATATAGAAGAGAACGTTAAATTTCAATTCTGTTAGTAAATAAGAGAAAACAGATATGTTTATACTCCCAAGTAAGGTTGGACCAGTTAATTCTCTGCCTTATTTTTCCGGCTCTCATACTGTGAACAAGTGTCCCTTTTGTGGTAAATAGTGCTAAGTGTTTTCACTTTTTTTTTTTTTTTTTGGAAATGCTGCTATTTGAAATGTCTCCATGCATAGTGCAGAAGTGCTATCTAGTGTTCTTAAGTGCAAGAAAGCTGTGATACGCCTTAGGGATTCTTTTTTTTTTTTTTTTTTTTTGGAAATGCTGCTATTTGAAATGTCTCCATGCATAGTGCAGAAGTGCTATCTAGTGTTCTTAAGTGCAAGAAAGCTGTGATACGCCTTAGGGAGAAAATATGTATGTTGGATAAACTTCATCGTGGCATGAGTTATAGTGCTGTTGGCTGTGAGTTCAATGTTACTGAATCAACAATATATAGTAAACGAGGTGTCTTTAAACAGAAACACATATGAAACAAGGTTATGTATTGATCAGTTGATGAAAATGTAACCAGAGATTCACAAGAAATTAACCCTGTATTTTCCCTAGGAGTAGTGTTCATTATTCCCTAAATCAGTGTTCATGGCTACTTTATGGAATATAACTACTGCAAATAATGCAAATCAACTATATTTTGATTACAGAAGTACTTGGAAGGGTTGAGTCTCATGGGGGAGTTAACTGATGCTCATCTTCAGTCTTGCTATTTGTAAATCTCTATATGATAGAATTCTGTTCTAGGGCCTGTTTGTTATCTTTAATAGGAAGATAATTGATTTTAAACAAGACACATAATTTTAAATTGACAAGTCATTATTTTGAAGTTACAAATAATTTTAACTCAAGGTCTTACCTTGTGAAAACTAGGATTTCCTCTGCCCAATTTTAATACTATTTAACTAACAGCCTTATGAGCCTGTAAATTTTATAATACCCCCAAGCTCTAATGTTCTTTAAATACCTTATTTTATTTTCTAAATTAGGCATTGGCAATTGTTTTTTCTATAAAGGGGCAGATAGTAAATATGTTAGACTTGTAGGGCACAAAAGGTCACATATTCTTCTTTGTTTTCTGTTTGTTTATTTTGTTTTTATAAAATTTTAAATATGTTTAAAAGAAAGCATTTTTAGCTCAGAGTCCAGACCAGATTTAGCCCAGATCTGTAGTTTACCAATCCATATTCTAATTTTTTCAGTGTGGTATATAATCAGCTGTCTCTCTGGATAGTGATGCCTTTTGCATCAGTATAACCTGTGTTTTGAAAAGGCCTGAGTGTGCCAATCTGCCTCTTTTCTTTTCTTTTCTTTTCTTTTGCGGTATGCGGGCCTCTCACTGTTCTGGCCTCTCCTGTTGCAGAGCACAGGCTCCGGACGCGCAGGCTCAGCGGTCATGGCTCATGGGCCTAGCTGCTCCGCGGCATGTGGGATCTTCCCGGACCGGGGCACAAACCCATGTCCCCTGCATCGGTAGGCGGACTCTCAACCACTGCTCCACCAGGGAAGCCCTGCCTCTTTTCATTCGATCAGTCTTGGCCTTTTTTGTTTAGAGGCAGTAAATATGCTATGTTTTTTATTGTTATTATGGCCCTCACTAGAGCCTGATTAACATCAAATACATGTCAGAAGAAAAATGGGGAGTAAGCACCACCACTTAACATCTTTATTCAGCAATCAGAAAGAATGGGGAGCTAGAATTAATTGCGCATTTACCAAGTGCAAGCCATTTTTATGTAATTCTTTAATCCTCAAGATAATCATAAAAAGGAAGGCATTCCCATTTCTTTTCAGATATATAACCTGAGACTCTTAAGATAGCTCTGTCCAGTAGAAATTTCTTCAGTGATGGAAATATTGTATATCTGTGCCCTACATTATGCTGTTGAGCACTTGAAATGGGGCTAATGTGACTAAGGAACTAAATTTTAATTTTTTTTTTAATAAATTTAAATTTAAATAACCATATGCATCTAGTAATTACCATATTGGGCAGCATAATTCTTAAGAGCTTAAGTAACTTGCCCAGATTTAGATAGTAAGTTCCACAACTTGAGTTCAAAACTAGGTCTGTGCAACTCCTAAGCTTATGTTTTTACCATTATGCCACACTGCCTTATTAATAAAAGTCAAGGTGGATGGACCCTGCCCTATAGAGTAGAAAACGTAGCAAAGATACTTAAGCATTTTTCAAGGTATACTGTATTAACTTTTTAGGCCACTAGTTCAATTAGTCAGTCCACACTCTGGAGCAGTCGATCATAATTATTAAGTAATACCTATGAATTTATTTTATAGTCTACATGCTGTTATTTTTCCATTATGTGAAATAAAATAACTATACTAAGAACATAGGGTATTGAAATTTTTCAGATATTAGCATACTTCAAAAGTTCTATCTAGGGAGTAAGGTCTAATCCGGTATTTTTAAAATAGGTTTTAAATATTGTAAGAATTGACATGCTTCAAATAATCACTTTAGAGCTTTATTGAAAATTTTTTTCAGGTACACGGGAGAACATCCATTGCTGGCATCCATTTTAATATGTTTTTTATTGATACCCGACATTAGATACTGAGTGGAAATCTTATTTCATTAGTGAGTACCAACTGTGTGTAAGAAATCAGAAGTGATGCCTTTTGGAAGGCAGGCCTAGATAAATTGTTCAGTGATGCTGACTTACGTACTAGAGGGAGGCTTGAAGGGGGAAAAACAGTGAACACAATTTATTTTATTAGTGTTGAGTCTTCCTTTTACCCTATATTTCTGGAGTCTCAATCTAAATCAGAATCATGCCTAGTTTAAACAGGAAATTGCTTAACTAGTGCCTGCAGCTTCCCATATTCTGTCCAGAAAATATTGAAAAATATGTCAGAATTGAAGTTCAGACACGATCACTGTTATTCAATAAGATTTGGAATCCTTTGGCCAGTGTTTCTTCCAGTTCTTGAACAATTCCACCTATGTGTAAGCCAGAGAAACCTCTTCCCTCTGGATGTCTTTGGTCAATTTCAGCAGGCCTCCTTCTGAGTCTAAAGAATCAAGCTCTTAAAATAGTCATTCCCTGGAAAGCTTTTCATTTGGCCTTGTTGAATGAATAATCTTTAGGAATTATTCTGGTACCTGGATAAACACTGGATCACTTTGTTCTTAGAGCCAGTAATTTGCCTGCATTCTTAATTCAAATCAAGTTATATCTAAAACTAAGGTCACTTTTGGCTTTAGATCAAGCATGAAATAGGTAAAAAGGAATATGTTAGTTAGGGGCATAAGATTTGTAATGGTAGGATGTTATTTTTTATAAATAGTATAATTATAAATTTTATTTCAAGATACAACCTGAATCACCCAGTACTCCAGATCACCCTTATCCTTTACTTTCTCCATAGCATTTATCGATTTTAATATACCATATAATATATGTATTGTGTTTATCTCCTGCCTCTTCTCCACTAGAATGTCAGCTCCATGAGAGCAAGGATCTTTGTTTTGTTCCGTGATGGGTCTGGCATATAGTAATTGCTCAATAAATATTTGTGGGCTGAGTGAATATCATAATCTATATCTCACTTCATCCCTCAAAACTTATATTCACTTCTAACTGGTAATTATTATATTGCTATATTCCATATGAAGTATATAGTTAACAAATTGGTAAAAATAAGACTCTACCATGAGGAAAGAATTTTAGGAATTATATCCTAAAAATGTATGAATAATTTGGAGTGCTTGAGCTTTTAATAAACTTAAATGAAACCAATAGTGTTCTCAGATGCCCCCCAAACTTTATCAGGAAATAGAGGATGGGAAGCTTTCAATTAAAAATACCTTTTTGATATATCTTTCTCAGATGGGAAGGCTGACAACCATGCCAGCAGCTCTAATATGTGCATCTATAAGTGTGTATGCGGCCAAAGAAGAGGAGTCCAGAAAGCATCTAGTGAAACCAGAGCAGGTAACTTGCCTACAAAAGTTTGAATTTTGTGTAACAGAAATATGATGTAAAAGCTGTGAGCTTGGTTTGTTTGTTAGCTCTATTCATCAAAAACGTCTTTGAAGTATTTGTTAGGCTCGTTTTTTAAGTTGTGAGAAATAGTTACAAGGTGTCTCAAAGTAAACACTATTATATTTAACCCAAACACCTAAAATCCTAACTCCAATGAAAAACAATTGATGATTTTTCTTAACGAATAATCAATGAGTAGTACAGGGTTTTAGTTCTTCTAAGCAGTCTGACTTTTCTTTCTTAAAAAGTTTATACAGGTACACCTGATATTTGGAAGCCTGAGTTTAAGAAATTCATTAAGATCTCAGTTTTGAAAGTAATCTTAAATGTTTTCTAGTTCAGTCTTCACTGTGGTACCATAGTCCTCTCTACAATAGGTACGCTAACTGGCTGTTTTCTTCTACATGAATAAAACTCTGGATAAAGGAACCTAAGACAGTCCATTCCATTTTCTGGCAGCTCTCATTCAACTTAAGGTCCTTTCTTATGTCAAACACAAACCTGTGTCATAATTATAAGTTCTACCCATTGGCCCTGTATCTCTTGCATTGGTGCCATACAGAACAATTCTCATCTCTCTTCCACAAAACCACTCTTCAGATGTCAGTTACACTTTAAGTAGTTTTGCTTCCTGGATAAGTGTATTAGTAGTTTAACCATTCCTCATATGTCATAGCTTTGAGTTCCTTCACTTTCATGATCATTCTCTGCCAAACATGTTCAGGATGGTTAGTGTTTTCTTCGGGTGTAAGTATTTTGACTACCGCAGGATAGAGTCAGACTCTGACTTCTCTTGTTCTAGATAATATATTTCTGTTAAAGCTGCCTAAGATCACATTTGTTTTTATATTTATTTTTGTTTTGAGTCATCACAACCAACCTTGCTTATAATCAGCCTTTGACCATGATATAGTGATTGTGCAGTTCTCTAAAATTCATTAAATTTTTTTACATGGGCCACTGGTAAGCTATGTCTTTTCTCAGTCTGTACTTAAGCATATAGACTTTTTGGACTTAGTTACAGGTACATTTATGTCTTTTTAACTTTTATCTTGTTGATCTAATCTATCATGCCAGCCTATTGGTATCTCATTGTAGTAACTGATTCTATTCACCGTTGTACTTTTCATCTTTTCTAGCCTCAAGTTATTCTTGAATTTATCTACATGCTTAGAAATATATACTCGAGTCAAACAGTCCTGAAACTGAATCCTGACCCCACCACTGAGTAGTTGGATGGCATTGGACAGAATTCTTAACAGTGGCATAAATATTCTGTGTATGAATATACCATTTTCAAATGTACAATTTTAATAAATTTTTGGAAATTTAACATATTTCCAATTATTTTGCTAATGTAATCAATGCTTTGTTGAAACACCTTGTACATAAATCTTTATGTACATCTATAACTGTTTCCTTAGAATAAATTTCTAGAAATGGAATTGTAAGTCAGAAGGCATGAAAAATATCAATGTATTGCCAAACTGACATACATAAAGGTGGTATTTATTCATTTATTAAACAAAAAATATTTCCTGAGCTTCTCTTATATATGTTTGAGTCATATACGAAGCACTGGGTAAAGTTTTATTAATTTTCATTAGCAGTCTAGAATAGATTTGCTCTCCTATATACTTGCTGACTCTCAGTATTTTTTCTCCTTTTTATTAATCTTAGAGAGATGATGTTTTTAAGCCTACCTTGACGCTCCTATCTTTGGAAAGCTCAAAATCTAGATTGGATAATAAGTAACTAGCATTTGTCCCTAATAGCTGAATTTACATATTTCTGAATTTTAAAATAAATTTTTGCTCTTTACTATATTATGGAATAAACAGGATTTCTTGGTATTTATTGTATTCCCCAGTACATTTTAAATAGAATTCAGTTGAATTACTTATTAAATAAAGTTGCCCGCTGAGTGCTAGGGACTATTCATATAATCAGGATTCAATCCTTGAGAAACTTAGAATTGCTGAAGGAATGAAAATGTGATTTGCATGAACTATTCCCAGGTACTTTTATTGTGTAAAGCGAGTTATGCCTTTGTTTAAATCTATTTACAATAAGTCTGTACTAAGCCAGAATGCTTTATGAATGAGGTGTTCTGGTTAATTGACTCTTCTGGTAAACTTGTGGCTAATGAGAAGATCCTTTTTCAGTTCAACTCTCTTGTTAAACATCTTTTTCAACTGTATCAATATACTCCTGCCTTATTAATTATGATGTCATGGATGTAATTAAATCTCTCTATTAGAAAACTCCGCAGAGCTGTGGGGTGACCCTTTTCTTAAACCATAAAATTCTCAGTATTCAGACTGTAAAATGACTGGAGCTTGGGCTGTGTGTATATAGTCAGCCATAGACATTATCAGATGTTTCTTTTTAAAGTATTTCTATAATGTGAATTTGACTTATTTTCTTGTCATTTGCTTGTTTTCGGCAAAAAATAACAGAGAAGAAATATTGATTTGAGAGTTCTAGTTACTTTCGTTCAATTTAATTTAAATGTTGTTTTATAGTTTACTAAATCTAATCTTAATTTCTAATTGAATACAAACAAGTTGTATTTATACAATACAATAAATGGCATTTAAGCCCAGGGCCTCCAATCCAGGATGAGAATATTCATTTAAAGTGTACAGCTTGATGTTTTGACATATGTATACATTGTGAAATGATCACCACAATCAAGCTAATTAACATATCTGTCACTTCATATAATTACCATTTTATTGTGTATGTGGTGAGAACACTTAAGATCCACCCTCTTAGCAAATTTTAAGTATACAATACAACATTATTAACCATAGTCACGATGACATGCCTCTGGAACTACTCTTCTTGCATAACTGAAGCTTTGTACTCTTTGGCCAACACCTCCCCATTTTCCCCTCTACCTTACCCCACACCGGGAGCCAGTATTCTTCTCTCTGCTTTTGAGTCTATTTTAGATTATACATATAAGTGAGATCATACAGTATTTCTCTTCTGAGTCTGCCTTATTTCACTTAGTATAATGTCCTCCAGGTTCAGCCTTGTTGTCAAAAATGGGAGGATATCCTCTTTATTCCATTGTATGTATGTGTATGCATGTGTGTGTATACCCACACATGCACACATCTATGTATATACATTTTTAAACCATGAAATTTGCAGTATTCAGTATTAACACGCACACACACATATACACACATACATGCACACATGATATTTTCTTTATCCATTCATCTGTTGATGGACATTTAGGTTGTTTCCATATCTTGGCTATTTGAGTAATGCTGCAGTGAACATGGGAGGTGCAAGTATCTCTTCAAGATCCAGATTTCATTTTCTTTGGATATAGTCCCAGAAGAAGTTGATCATATGGTAGTTCTATTTTTGAGTTTTTGAGGAACCTCCATACTGTTTTCCATAATAGCTGTACCAATTTACATTCCTACCAACAGTGTTTAAGGGTTCTCTTTTCTCCACATCCTTGCCAACACTTGTTATCTCATGACTTTTTGCCATCCAACAGTTGTGAGGTGATATATCATTGTGGTTTTGATTTGCACTTCCCTGATGATTAGTGATGCTGAGCAACTTTTCATATACCTGTTGGCCATTTTTATGTCTTCTTTTGAGAAATGTCTATTACTGTTCTTTGCCCATTTTTTAGTCAGTTATTTTTTTGCTGTTGAGTTGTATGAGTTCCTTATATGTTTTGGATGTTAACCCTTATCAGATACATGGTTTGCAAATATTTTCTACCATTCTATAGGTTGCCTCTGTTAATTGTCTCCTTTGCTGTACAGAAGCTTTTTAGTTTGATGTTGTCCCCCTTGTTTATTTTTGCTTTTGTTGTCTGTGCTTTTGGGGTCATTGCTAAGACCAATGTCAAGAAGTTTTTACACTGTGCTTTCTTTTAGTAGTTTTACATTTCAGTTTTTACATTTAAGTCTTTAATCTATATTGAGTTGATATTTTATATGGTGTGAGATGGGAAATTAGGATCCAATTTCATTCTTCTGCATCTAGATATTTTCCCTACTGTGTTTTTGGCACCCTTGTCAAAGATCAGTTGGCCATAAACACATGGGTTTATTTCTCTGTAATCTGTCCTGTTACATTGGTCTATGTGTGTTTTTATGCCAATACAATACTGTTTGGATTACTGTAACTTTGTAATATATTTTGAAATCAGGATGTGTGATACCTCCAGCTTTGTTCTTGCTCAAGACTTGCTTTGGCTATCCAGGGTCTTTTTTGTTTCCATATAAAATTTAGGATTTTTCTGTAAAGAATGCTATTGGGATTTTAATAGGAATTGCATTTAATGTGTAGATCACTTTGGGTAGCATGGACATTTTAACAATATTATTTCTTCCAATCCATGAACATGGGGTGTCTTTCCTTTTTTTTTTTTTTTTTTTTTTGCAGTACGTGGGCCTCTCACTGTTGTGGCCTTTCCCATTGTGGAGCACAGGCTGTGGACGCGCAGGCTCAGTGGCCACGGCCCACGGGCCCAGCCGCTCCGCGGCATGTGGGATCTTCCCAGACCGGGGCACGAACCCATGTCCCCTGCATCAGCAGGCGGACTCTCAACCACTGCGCCACCAGGGAAGCCCTTTTTTGTGTCTTTAATTTCCTTCATCAGTTTTTTTATAATTTTCAGTGTACGAGTCTTTCACCTCTGGTTGAGTTTATTCTTAACTGTTTCATTCTTTTTATTGCTATTGGAAATGGAATTGTTTTCTTAATTTTTTTCGGATAGTTCATTGTTAGTGTATAGAAACACAACTGATTTTTTTATGTCGATTTTATATCTTGCAGCTTTAGTGAATTTGTTTATTAATTCTAATAGTTTGTGGTTGTCGTTAGAATTTTCTACATATATGATTGTGTCTTCTGCAGATATTTAACTTCTTTTCTGATTTGAATTCCTTATATTTCTTTTTCTTCTC